AAAATAAAAAAGAAAAAAAGAAAAAAAAAAAGAAAAGAAGGAGAGAAATAAAGTTAAATTTTTTAAAAGTCATGTGTAAGAGGCCTTGCAGTAGCTGCACATGGAAGGGATGAGTCAATGTGTTTCTAGAGAGAGAGAGAGAGAGAGAGATTTGAGAAGGATTTTTGATTGAGGCCCATGCATTGGTTAGCTCAAGGAACTCATAATTTTTTTGTTTCTTTCAAAAATTTTGTATCAATATGTTTGCTTGTTTATACTGATTTTGTTTCTATTGTTTTGTTTTATTTTTGGTTGCATGGCCCAACAACCGATGAGAGATGCCCGACAGCTAATTGATGGTGGACGTGTGGTTCCCATCTTCAATAATTTGCATCTCATGGACAAGGTTTCAATGAGTCCATGTAGAAATGAGTACCTTCTTAAAAATATATTTTTGAAATGAATTTTTTGATTCAATTTTTAAAGATATATAATCTTTAACATGGAGATCATGAATATAAAAGAATAAATAAATTTTTAAAATTTAAAATAATAATTTCATGAAGTAATCATTTGAGCCATTAATTTTTACTGTGCTTAGATAGGCCACCCATTTGCATCCATCCTTAAGATGGATGCTTTATACCTAGGGGGAACGCAAATGTAGAAATGCGTCCCCTGACGACGACGCATGGAACAATTTTTCCTCTCTTTTCCCATCTCTCTCTCTATATTCTAAATGGACAAGCTTTTGATGCTTTCTCTACAACATAAAATTTATATACTTTCCCTTATCCAACCGTCTATTCTGAATGGAGGACTAAGATTGCCCCAATCACAATATCACATCGCTATATTATTTTATTTTTAATTTTTTTTTCTATAAATTATTTTGACACCAGATTTTGTACATCCAATCCTCTATTAAATTCGCACTAGCAAAAAATATAAAAAAATATTTTCAATAAAATAAAATGACCAAAATACCTCTGAAAATTTCAAGAAGGATTTTGGTCATTATATTTTATCAAAAAATTATTTTAATATTTTTTATAGGTGCCCCCCAATAAGAAGGTGGCACGTACCAAATTTCATATTCATACAATTTGTATAAAAAAACAAAAAATAAAATACTTTGAGACGTCGGTTCTAAAATCAAACGGTGAGTGGTTCTCTTGATCAAAATTGGACGGCTAGATGGTAGGAGAAACATAGATCTTTTATGATGTAGGGGAAGTATAGAAACCTTTCCCATTCTAAATTGGGATTAAAATCCATAACTTTTATACTAACTTGCTTTTGGATGAATGGGAAATAAAAACCCTGGTCTTTATGTCAAACTTTCAAATGTCTAACAACCTTCCATGGCAAAAATCTTAAGAGGAGGGACATTATATGTGGCAGTTAGCTGTGTACCACTTTTTAGGTCTCTTTTTCTTTTTCTTTCGAGCTGATTTCTCACTTTCAAAATGGGTATCTTACTTGCGGACTAAAGGCCCTAGGACAAGACAACTAAAGCTTCTTTGTGGAATTTTTTCTTCCTCTTTTGAATGGGAAGCTTCTTTGTGGATCCTTCACAAAGTTGATGCCCATTTGTCTAACGTTTTCAAATATGACATAGGTTCTTCTTGACTTCAAACTCTCTAAGACTGGTAGGAATTAAAGGTGCCAAAATAAATGTAACTTTTTGATGGTATTGGTTGCTGTTTAGATTCCCACCTTTTCCACTTCTTTCACTCTTAAACTTAATTCTCTAAAGGGAAAATTTAATTTTAACTGTCTGGAAAGAATTAAATGAATTTATGTTTAAATGTGATCCCCTTCCAAAACTCCATCTTAGATATTGATTTGGGATTTGAAATTTCAGTTATTATAGATGCGTTTTCATTCTTGTTTCACGGCTTTTTGCTAAAAAAGTAGTGGAAATTGATGAAATATGTGAGGAATTAACATAAGTGGTAATCATTGATCCAAAAATAAATCTAAAACGATCAATTTTAAGGCTCAAAACCGATGTTTTAATATTCATGATCGTGGTCGTCGATTATGCCTTGTATTTTAGAAGTGCCCTTTGAGACTGACCTCCAAATGTTCACTATCTCCAATTCTTTGAAAATCAGTGAGGTTTTTAAATGATACTTCCCCAGAATAGTTTTGTTGAATTTTTTTCCAAAGAATGAAAATCAAGCAAAAATGCAAGTTAAAATAGCACAAGCATGAACGAACATATACTAATTTTAAAGATATAAGGGTGGCCTTCTTTTGATTTCTTTTCTATTTTTAAATTTCATTGATTGCAGTTTATGACAAAATTTGGCATAAAACTTCAGAAAGAATTCTATCAATTTTTCAAAGAACTTTGAAAGGAATTTTGCAAAACCCTTGGGCCCTAGATGACCCAAGGATCAGAATAAACCCTGGTCTGGATTGAGAAGCATGTTGAACTTAATTTTTCAAAGAACTTTGAAAGGAATTTTGCAAAACCCTTGGGCCCCAGATGACCCAAGGATCAGAATAAACCCTAGTCTAGATTGAGAAGACCATGTTGATCTTGGTTCAAACCCATAGGACTTTCCTTTTACCTTGTAGTTGGGGATTTCAAC